GCAGGAAAAACGAGGAAGGCTCCTGCTTAAAGGGAGGGGGGGCGAGAGAGGGATAGAGAGAGCAAGAGAGAGAGAGTAGACGAGCAGGTATCTGCGCAGGCGCCTAGTTCAGCCTCGCCGTGCGCCCAGGTGAAGCGCTTTGGCTGGGACTCCAGTTGAAGAGGCAGCTGCGTGGGGTTTCAGTCCCCCCGCCCCCTCCTGCCGTCGGTTCCTGCTCAAAGCCCCACCGGGTGGCTCATGTCTCTACTAGGGAGGATCGACTGGCAAGTAAGTCGCCTTCTTTCCTTTTTTTCCCTCCCCCCAGGATCTTTGCAAGTTATGGAGGCGGTGCGGGGTTTGGCTGGTGGCTCAGAACGTAGGAGTCGGTCGGGGATGATCAATGGTCTTGTTCGGTTCCTGGAGCTCTGAGCCTTCCACAGGTTAGAAGTTCCTCGGAGGCTCCACAGAAGAGTTCGGGCTGTGTAGGGGAAGGGAAAGGGGTTTGAGGAATTTCTTTCCCAAGGCGGAGAACCTCGTGGCTTTCCGAGGAACTTCTCGCGCACGTGGGAGAAAGTTTGGTCCATTTCACCAACAGCCTGGTGTTTAACAATGCGCCCACATATATATTCTTAGCATCGCACCCCATTGAGAAAAAGCAGGGAGAGGACTAACTTTCACGGAAAGCTGTAATCCTTGCACACCATAACCCGGGAGCAAGTCCTATGGTACTCAAGCATCGCCCGATCCGGTACGCGCGCGACTCGGAGTGTGGTTCTAACTCGGAGTAAACGCGCGTAAAAAAGCCGTAGATGGGGTTCATCGGGACTTACTCCCAAGTAAGCCTGCCCAGGGTTGCAGCCTTAAGCCTCTTTGCATTCCTGCCTGCAAGCCCCCTTCTTTAAGGGCAGGGGGCGCCACGTTCTCTGCGGTGCCCCCAACGCGCTCAGCTACGCTGCAGAATGACAGCTCAGATCGGCCCGAAGCCAAAAGTCTCCGGTTCCAGAGAATTGTGGATGGGCCGGAGCGGCTGAGCTATTTTAAGAGTAACACGTTGATTGTGACACAAGCTTTACTGGTCCATAATACATTTGTTAGTTTTTAAAGGTGCCACAAGACTTTTTCTTCTGGTTTGGCTGCAAGAAACTGCAAGGCCGCAGCCCTAAACCTCAGTTACTTGGGAGTAAGCCCCGTTGAATTCAATAGGGCTTACTTCAGAGTAGACACGGCTAGGATTGCCCTGTAACAAGGCCACCCCGCTAGAGCTGGGGAGGAATGCGTGTACACATACTTTATCTTGGACAAGCGCAACTTCTGAAAAGACTTGTAGACCACTTCATTTGACTGGTCCAGGAAAGCTTATGCTACAAAGTGGCTAGCCCTTAAGGTGACCCCAAGACATTTCTTGCTCTCCAGCGGTTACTGCAAAACAGCAAGTTATAAGAAACCAACGAAGTTAAAAACCATGCGCGCCTCGGAAAGCCTCTGCAGAGACAGCAAAAGGAAGGTTTGTCTGGAATTAGGAAGGTTTTTCTGGAATTCGATGTATCATTCGATTTCCAGTGTCTGAACCCATTCGATCTTTTCCAGA